TGGCCTGGGTAGTTTTACAGCAGCGGGTGCACCGTAGTGTTTTGATTTGAAGAAGTGTGTTGTGGGTGAACACCCCCCCCCCATTGAATTTTATAGTGGAGGACTCCCTGCCAAGATACTAGAATCGTGTTGCACTTGAAGATTCTGTCAAATGACCTTATACCATGGCATAACATATGGATAGTATGACAGTGTTAGAAATTATATACTGTCCAAGACTAGAGTAGGGAGGCTAGAGATTTTACAGGTGGGGGGGGTGGGAGGAGTAGAGGTTAAATGGGGGAGGGGGGGGACTGGGCCACCCAGGGAATACATTCTTGTCGTTCCCACAGCATTGAATCAATATAAATGTTTTTTTTTTGTATGAGTGAAGTAACACTGTTTTTTGTGTTGTTGACATTAGTCAAAATTGTGGAAGTTTTGGCTAACCTTTTGGCAGTATATGGCTCATCTCACAGTGTCAATTTTCAGTGTCATTTTTCACAGTGTCAATTTTCACAGTGTCATTTTTTACGGTGCCGTTTTTCACAGTGTCTTTTTTGTTGCTTCTACAGAAAAGTCTAACTTGCTGGTGTGCAGGAATGAGCCAGTTACGGAGGTACTACTTTCATCTTCCATTCAGAGGCGCAACATCAGCCAGATGGTGTTCCACAAGATCAAGAAGGAGGACATAGAGATAGTAAGGGCCTCTGACAGTCCATACGCGTCAGTCTGCTGACATCGGCTCTCTTCCGCACAGATACACTCACTTTTTTCATTCTTTTTATAAGTTATTTGTGATTAACTGTTAAATTTTACATACTCTATGCATTTTATGGCAGATGTTTTTAAAATCTGCCATCTACATGTTGACTTGTTAGTATACAGATGATGGTCTGTGTTCCAGTAAAGACTGATATTCAAGTGGTCCCACAGTTCTGTGCTGACTGGCTTTTGTGACAGTCTGTGGTTTGATGGTGTTTTTTAGAGATCAGCAAACCACATCTCAGAAAACTGATCCTTTCCAACATCAGCCCACAGTTTTTTTAAGACCCAGAATCAAACACTGTTACATAATAATAATTTTAGCATGTTTTAAATGTATTGAAAAGCCTTTGATTAGCACTGGAGAATTTGCATTGATTAAATTGAATTGCTAGCTTATAAAAGCAGGTTTACTTTTATCAGTGAGATTTCACTACGTGCCCATCCTTTATTGAAACCTGTCAGCAATACTGAACACATGCTAGCATATTCCAAGCATTTCCCAAGTATTTAGTCAGTGTGGTAGAACATTCCAGGAAAATATGAATGTTCCTCAACGGCTTTCTCAGATTCCAGGTTAACATATGTGATATTATCCATTATCCAGCAAAGCAACCTCAAGTAATATTAATATTACCAATACCAGTAGAAGTAGTAGTAATGATAATAATAATAATAATAATAATAATAAAAATAATAATAATGATTGAAGTTGTCAGGCTATAATAATAATAATAATAATAATTATTATTATTATTATGCATTTGATTAATGCCAGATTTTCAATAAATGTATCATTTTATTGATGGAATGCACTTTCATTTGAAAGGACAATACTGTGTTTTCATATTGTATACAATGGATTGAAGGTCTGTGTTTGTGTATAAATGTAGTATTTGGTAGCACCTAAACGGCCATTGTGTGTTTGTGTTTTCGCAGCACGAAAGCTTGGGGCAGGGAACATTCACAAAGATCTTCAAAGGCATCCGCAAGGAGCTTGGAGACTGTGAAAAAATGTATGAGACAGATGTCGTTGTGAAGATTCTGGATAAAGCACACCGGAATTACTCTGAGGTCAGTCATAAAGCAACTATGACGGTTGTTGGTTCAAACTCCAATCCAGGCAAAGTGTCAGTTTGGCAAGGTACTTAACTTGATTTGATTCCATAAAATATTCAGCTGTGTAGAGGGTACGAATGAAGTCATTTTGGAAAAAACTTTCAGCTATGTAACAACATTTTATAGCCTTGTAGCTGTAGCCAAAAAGGTGCACAACTGCTCAGTCATGGGAATCTGATTTGCTTTTGTAGATGCATGGCTGTATTCATGGTCTGTCTTCTGTTCTGCAGTCTTTCTTTGAGGCAGCCAGCATGATGAGTCAGCTCTCGCATAAGCACTTACTGCTGAACTACGGTGTTTGTGTGTGCGGGGAGGAGAGTAAGTATCCACCGTGTTTCACCAAGCAAGCTCATCAAGGCAGCATTCACATTACACGTTTCGTCCTCCAGTTCCAATTTTTTGCTCAGATCAGATTTGCCTGTCACAAGTGACCTGTATCTAACTGTAATGTGAACGCATCTGTCCTATGAAACGGTTTGCATGGGCACAGTGGTACATTTTTGCAAGGGTCATCTGCAGCACCAACGACACAAATCTCTCAGCATATGCGTATAGGCAAAAAAAACACATGAATTCTGATCTGAACGTTCTCATTCATATCACGTGGACACAAACCAGATATGTATCTGATATTGGACCATGTGTGAAAGTGACTCAAATCTGATTTGAAAAGATTGGATTTGTGTGGCCACACAGCCCTGAAAGTCAGGACAGTCTGAGTCACTTTCAGTCAAAAAATTTAATTTGAACTACTTCAGCTTGGTAGTGTGATCGTAATCAAATTCTCCCATGCTCATGGGTACTCATTATGGTACTCTTTGTAATACTCATTATGGTACTCATTGTAGTACTCATTGTAGTACTCATTATGGTACTCATTGTAGTACTCATTATGGTACTCATTGTAAGGCAGCCATGGCTGACAGCATCAGGACTTTCTGGGGCACCGTTTCTGCCTGTAATTTTGATCTTGTGAATCTTTTAGTGTAAATACAGAGGTAATTCGTTTGGTGAAGGCGTGATGATCTTGTGGGTTTGCAGACATCATGGTCCAGGAGTATGTTCGGTTTGGATCGCTAGACACCTACCTGAAGAAGAAGAAGAATTCTGTGAACATCACATGGAAGCTGGAGGTGGCCAAGCAGCTGGCGTGGGCCATGCACTTCTTGGTAGGAGACCCCATGTCGGCAGAAAAGGGCTGCGGCTGGCTGTCAACCCGGCTTTGAGAACAAAGAAGTCATACAATCTGAACAGTCTCTGGGCATTGCCATGCACATCAAAACAGTCCATTTCCATACACATTTACTTTTATTTCTTATTTATGGTTATACCTGATTTTCACTACAATCTGTAATTTTCCTTGATTGGACTAGAGCAGCCGAGCAGATGTAACACTTTCTGGATTCCCAGTACTAGATTAAAACCTGTTAAACAGGGTGAAAAAGGAGACAATGAACTCCATGTCTGGCCTTCATGAAAGTCTCTCAGTTCTGAGAGAAAACCCTGCTGGTCGACCGTATACCACTGTTTCTCTTTTTTTTATTTACATGGTACTAAGGGCTTAAACACAGTATATTACCAACATGACTATTATCCTTCCTTTTCTTTACAATACATCGTGAAACAAATGAGATCAACGATAATGTCATGCCAAGGATAGTCAAACATCAGCAACGTACAAACACAAATGTGGCCGCACATTGTGGGTGTCACACAGATCTTTATCTCTGAAATTGGTGTGTTGGATTCATTCTTTAAGAAAAACTTTGCATGAGTTTAAGCAGAACTTACCTCACAGGAGGGCAAGAACCTAATCCACGGTAACGTCTGCGCCAAAAACATCCTGCTGATCAGGGAGGAGGACCGAAAGTCTGGGAGCCCCCCCTTCATCAAGCTGAGCGACCCAGGCATCAGCATCTTGGTGCTGCCCAAAGAGAGTGAGTGTCCTTTTACTCCTGCTCCACACTCGGTCAAATTGCCAGAGAATGAATGTTTTTTTACTCTCTGTTGGTCATGTGGTAGGTTAATAATCATATGAGGTTATCAAATTGTATCAGGAAGCGGGGAGAAACCCACATTACTCTCACTCTGTTGCTGTGGTATCTGTGGATTTCCTACCTTGTAACAGTACTAAAGACTTGTGTTTATTAGTCATCATGGTATATTTATACACTAACCACTTATCCTGATCAAGGGTCACAGGGGGTCCGGAAGCCTATCACAGCCAAGTGGAGTAGCCTGGACTCTATGTCAGATGGATAGTGAAACAGTAAAGACACAGACATCAAAGTGGCCGTCACACCTTGAGTTCCTGTGCTAAACGGAAAGTACTTAAACATCTCATTAAATTTGCCCCAGTTCTGATGGAGCGAATCCCATGGGTACCACCTGAGTGCATAGAAGACCCTAGGAACTTGAGCCTGGCAACAGACAAGTGGGCCTTTGGTACGACCCTATGGGAGATCTGCAGCGGTGGGGACAAACCACTCAGCACCCTCGATTCTTCCAAGGTGAGAAGGGTCCACAAATGTCGCCAATGTCTTTGTGTCCAGAATTACTTCTCTGTCCTCCTGAATATTTGACATATTCAGACATTCTAGGTCCACATTGGGTAGCAAATGATCTATTCCCTGCTGCAGAAAAACCTCTTCTATGAGGATCGACACCAGTTACCTGCACCGAAGTGGACAGAGCTGGCAACCCTGATCAACAACTGCATGGACTACGAGCCGCTGTTCCGGCCATCTTTCCAAGCCATCATCCGTGACCTCAACAGTCTCTTCACTCCCGGTGAGCAGGACTCACCTCTGCAGCCTACCGTCTGACTGTGTTGGGAATGCAGAACATTTAGAATGTGACACATGAGGTGGACTCGAAAGGTTTATGTGGGGGGGGGGGGGGTGCTCTTCTTAGTTGTGATCATGGAGACATATACACAAAAGAGGAATTACCCTAATCATTGCCGCTCCCCCTGCCCCCCCTCACCAAGAGTTCCTCTATTTAACTTTTTCATGTTGTAACCCCCCCCCCCCCAAATTTCCCCCAACCTAGACTATGAGCTACTTGCTGAAAGCGATATGCTGCCGAACCGAAGCCGGGGGTTTGGCTTCTCTGGTGCTTTTGAGAACCATGAGCCAGCTCAGTTTGAAGAGAGGCATCTGATATTCCTACAGCAACTTGGCAAGGTAGGTAATTCCAAGCCCGTGTCTGTTATGTGTGCTTGTGTTCATGGGCGCTCGCTTCCATTCCCTCTCATCATATCTGAGGAGAAGCTTGGAATTTGGAACTTGTATATTCAATAGCAGAAGCAATTGTGATTGTTTTTGTATTAACCTGACTTTACAGCATCCATATTCTTATGGAATGCACCGTTTATTTTTCTTGTCTTGTCTAAGAAGAACGTCGACTGGCACGATTAATTTCTGCACATTTGAGCATGGTAGCATAAGGATTTTGGTGACACTGTTGATGAATCATGCTTTTGATTCCTAGGGTAACTTTGGAAGTGTGGAGATGTGCAGGTACGACCCTCTGCAGGACAACACTGGCGAGGTGGTAGCAGTGAAGAAACTGCAACACAGCACAGCCGAGCACCTGCGTGACTTTGAGAGGGAGATCGAGATCCTCAAATCACTCCAGCACGAAAACATTGTCAAGTACAAGGGAGTGTGCTACAGCGCAGGTACCAGGAAACCACTTTCCCATAATTCTTAGCAGGGGAGAATTTATGCCTTACAAGCTGTTTGCATTGGTCAAAATGTTGGATCTTTTTAAAATACAGTGGGACCCCCCATATCCGTGGTTTTGGTCATTTTGGTTTCAGTTATCCGTGAATTAACCCAGTCCAAAAAATTTTTTGGAAAATTCCTGAAATAAACTATTCAAAATTTCAAACCACGCCCCAACAAGTACATGCTGTAACATGGTGAAATCCACCAGCCCAGCTGCACCCAGTACATGACTCATTTCCCATTGTCCCCATAGCCGCACTTCCCAGCAGGACTCCCACCTAGTCCGCCTTTAGTGTTCTCACTAATCACATTCTTCGTTGCATTATCGCAGTGTCTGTGTTATAAAAAATGTATTAAAAGCACGATTTTCATTGCTCAGTCATCCCTTGATAAATTTTCCACTACCGGTCAAAAGTTTTTACACACACTGAGTATTCTCTACATTTGCATGTTACTTATTTAACATTTACTAGAAATACTCATAATATTCTTTGCTAACAAATATATTTAGTTTGTTCACCATTTGAGTACATTTATTAGCAGGAAAATTGTATATCTTTGATTCATCAAAATAACCTCCTCTATTACACCAGTGAAAATTTGAGGCGTTCTTTCTACATGGGACATTACATGCTACTATGCCATCACCACATAACCAGTCAATAGGATGTCAGACATGCACCGTTACATACTCTGTCATATATGTTATAAATGAAGCTTGTTTTATTTGACTTATATTTTCATTGACAGTTGTTCACTCAACTTACCAATGCTTAACAAGAGTACAGAATCAGCAGTTTATGAAAGAAACGGAAAAGTGGTAAAACCTGTGTTGTGCAGAAACGGTTGACTGGTGGTGTATTTTTTCATTGCTCTATCATCTCTTGACAATAAGGCTAAAATGTAAGAATCCCTTTCATTTGAGAGAGAGAGACTACAGTACTGTGTAATAATGTACTTTATTATTACTGTATTTAATCTTAGTAATGTTTTACTCTGTATAATTTGTCAGTTTACCTTTAGCATATGAATGCACATGAAAATCGTGTCATATATAGGATATGCAGATGGGTTGCTTTTATCCACGGTTTTGGCCGTCTGTCGTAGGTCTTCAAACGTATGACCCATGGAAAAGAGGAGACTACTGTCCATCTTAATTCCCGACAATAAAGTGAAGGTTTTATTCCCATTCCATTGCTCTAGTGAAGTATTCTTTAGTATAGGACTTTTTTTTAAATGCTTTGAAACATTGTATTATATAATAACCCTGCATCATTTGAAAAATATAGGTACATTTTCAGGGAGTATGTTTTCCGAAAACTTTGGGAGCGAGCGAGGCATTTTGTTATCTTGTACTTAAGATCATTCGTTGATTAATGACCGTTTCTCAAAACCTTTTGTGACTAATATAGTTTGTAACCTCACTCATAAATTAACGAGTGATCTGACCCACTCGTTATTTTCTATGTCATCTATGTCTTTTGCCTGCTATTCTGTCACAGAGGCACAGAAGTCACCTGAATTGGATCAGAGTAGCACACTGATGCTTTTATTGGACAATGTAATGATGATGATGATTTAATGTGAAAGCTGACACAGGCCGGTGCCACTGGAACAAGAAATGAGTCCAGAGTTTGTCATTTCAGGGTTAAACCTCAAAATGAAATTCTGCCAGACATTTCTCTAAGGCCCTTGTGTTCCTGTTTTTTTAGTCTTCAGGTTCCTGTCTGTTCTAAAGGTGCTTTTGGTGAAGGCAAGGCTTCAGCCGAGAAAAAAAATTTAAGGTTTCAGTGACCTGTTGAACTTGTTCCCCTGCCTTTCCAATGAAAGGAAAAGAAACCTTTTCCTCAGGTCTGTACTTCAGTCCTCAAGTTATTGTTCTCCTTTTTTTGTTTCAGGGCGGAGGAACCTGAGATTAGTCATGGAGTACTTGCCGTTTGGGAGCCTGCGAGATTACCTCATCAAGAATAAAGACCGCATTGACCACAAGAAGCTTCTCCACTACGCCTCCCAAATATGCAAGGCATGATACTGTCACCATTTATGTTTTAGTAAATGTTGTTTTATGCTCTAGAAAAATCTAAACTGATTGCCGTGTAACGTTTTGTCTGATTATAGTGATATATTTTGTATGTTTGTGTTTTGTATGGATACTGAGAATGGTAGGAATAGCCAGTATTGTAGTGCGATCTACATTCACCTCTACTCTGGTTTCCCTGACCTTTGACACTGTGATTGGAAGGTCGCTGGTTCAAATTTCAGAGCTGGCAGAGCAATTTCACCTTTGGGCCCCTGAGTGAGGCCCTTTGCCCTAGTTGGGCCCCTAAGTGAGGCCCTTTGTCCTAGTTGGGCCCCTGAGCGAGGCCCTTTGCCCTAGTTGGACCCCAGAGCCAGGCCCTTTGCCCTAGTTGGGCCCCTAAGTGAGGCCCTTCACCCTAGTTGGGCCCCTAAGTGAGACCTTTGCCCTAGTTGGGCCCCTAAGTGAGGCCTTTGCCCTAGTTGGGCCCCTAAGTGAGGCCCTTCGCCCTAGTTGGACCCCAGAGCCAGGCCCT